CCTCCCACCCCCACCCAGGGATATATCTCATTTCATTGGATTGCCAACAATGAGCACCGTGTCTGGCACAGAGCAGGTGCTTAATATATATTTGTTGAATGAAGGAAGGCTCCCAAAATCTCCTCTATTCAAGAGTTGTTATGTCACAGGGCCTGCTGGCCCCAAGGCCCTTCCTGAATGTGTTTTTCCTAGCCCCCAGACCTGCTGGTCACTCACTCCAGCCAACAACAGGAGAACGCATCAAGGTGGCTGTCCCCTCCATCCTTGCCTGTCACCAGGGGCACATGTGCCCATTGTATGTTGGAGTCAGCAACCCATTTACCCTCTCTGCTCAGCCAATCGGAACAATAATAACAATATCTGTTGACTTCCTATGAAAATGCCAGCATTCCTCAGCAATTATTTGTAATTCTCATAACATTTCCACAAAGGGAATATCATTTCTCTTACAGATTAGGAAACGGAAACTCAGAGGGCCCCACAGTTTGCCAAGGTGATACAGCAAAGATGTACTGAGTGAATCAAAGAATGAACAAACGAAAGTCTTACTGATTCTGGTGCTTTACTTTTCTCTTTTGTTCCCCACAAACACTGGGAAAATTCGATGGAGAAAAGAAGCCCACTGGTTCTGAGGATTCCTGAGCCAAGAGAGCAGGGAGTAGGCAGAAGGTGACCCCAGTAGAGAACACCTCTAAGCAACCCCGAGTTACTCAGTAACCCAAGTCCTGGTTCCCAAGAACAGCCTGGCCAGGCTGGGCCAGGGCAAGCGGCAGACACCAGTTCCCCTTGGCCACCCTCAAGTGCCCAGCTGATCATAGCTGGAAACTGGAGATGGAAGGTCAAAGATTGGGCAAACCACCAGGCCAGGCAGGATGGGCGCTGGTGACAGAGTTGGGGCCCCTCAGAGGAGGTCAAGGGTGGAGAGATGGGTGAGAGATGAAGCCTTCCCCCCAATTCCATCAGAATTTCCAGGGCTGAAGTCCCCAGTGGCAAAATCACCCATGGAGGAAGTGAAACCCAAAGCAGAAGCTGGAGCTGAGAAAGGAGAACAGAAAGAGAAGGTGGAGGAAGAAAAGAAAGAAGAAGCCAAGGCATCTCCCAAGGAAGAGAAGGCAGAGAAAAAGGAGGAGAAGCCAAAGATGCACCAGAGAAGAAGGCGGAGTCCCCAGTGAAGGCGGAGGTGCCCGCCAAGCCAGTAAAGGTGAGCCCCGAGAAGGAAGTCCAAGAGGAGGGGAAGCCACAGGAGAAAGAGGAGGAGAAAGTGGAAGAGATGGTGGGGGAGGAAGAGGGAGGTTTGAAGGAATCCAGGAAGGAAGACATAGCCATCAATGGGGAGGTGGAGGGGAAGGAGGAAGAACAGGAAACTAAGGAGAAAGGCAGTGGGGGAGTGGGGGAGAAGAGGAGAAAGGAGTCGTCACCAACGGGCTAGAAGTGAGCCCAGTGGATGAAAAGAAGGGCGGTGATAAAAGTGAGGAGAAAGTGGTGGTAACCAAAATGGTAGAAAAAAATCACCAGTGAGGGGGGAGATGGTGCTACCAAGTATATCACCAAATCTGTAACCGTCACTCAAAAGGTTGAAGAGCATGAAGAGAACTTTGAGGAGAAACTAGTGTCTACTAAAAAGATAGACAAAGTCACTTCACATGCCATAGGAAAGGAAGTCACCCAGAATGGCTAATATTTGAGTCCATCGCAAAAGGTTAAGCCATATGACAATTTCAAAAATGCACGTGATTGACAGCTTCAAAACAGAACGAGTTCTCCCATGGGGGCTCCAGACATTGTATTTTACTTTGTGCAATATGAGGGACCTGCATACAAGCTCAGGGTGCTCCCCACCCCCAGTCTTTGGGTGATTCAAATGCATGATAACTGTATGTACCTGGGGAATTGGCCAATTTCCTAAGCTGTTGGAAGGGGGGCACTCGGGGAATGTCTTGAGGTATATTATGCAAAGAACCAACTGAGCCAAAAATAATAAATGGAACACAGAACTTTCTTAGCCTTAAGAAAGCTATATATGAATAATTATGTTTACCTCACTGGTGCATTTAAAAAGAACTTTTGTTCATGGGAGAACCTCGTTGACATGCACAGTTTGCAACTTTTAGTTGATTGATGTTAAACGTCACAGCAGTACTTGCTCAATAAAGGTCATATTGGAAACATTAAAAAAATAAATAAATAAAAGAATTTCCAGGGTTGGAGAAGGCAAGGGGGAGGGCCAAGAGTTCTGACAACACTTGGCAATCCAAAAGAAAACCATAGACTGAGATTCTCCATAGTGGTGGTGGGCCAGGAGAGCCCCCAGGTGTAGGCCTGCCAGGAGAGCCCACAGAGGGGACAGGTGGGCCAAGGGGACCCTCAGAATGGGAGGACTGTCAGGACCTTGTTCTCTGTTAGACCAGGGGTGGTACCAGCTGGTACCCATTAGTTGTGAGACTACCAAGATCCTCCTATAAAGGTTGGTGAATAGCAGTTGCCCAAAGGTCTCCAAGTGTGCCTTTGATAAATTGGCCCAGCTATCCTGGCCCTCCCAAAGGGCTCCCTTTAGACCTCCCACAATCCAACAAATAAAAGGTGAGCACCTGTCAGGGCTAGAGGCACCCAGGACCCAACCGTGGTTGTGACTAGAACCTCAGGTCACAGCCCCCAAACCTGGCTCAGTGTTGACACTAAATGAATACTGTGAATGAATGAATGAGCAACAGAGGAAAGGAAAAATCAGAGATTCAGAGGAATTCAGAGACTGAGAGAGACAATAGGTGGGACAGAGGTGGAGGAGGCTGGAATCAAGGTGGAAGCTCCCAGAAGATGCTGAGAAGACACAGCCCCTACTCCTTTCTCTTTCGAGTTATGGTGCTTTTGAAAACCTTTCCCCTTAAGGGCCTGTCCAGTCCTTGCCTGTGCAACCCAGGGCAACCCCTCTTCCAAACAGGGCTCAGGAAGCAGACTGCATCTTTGGGGCAGAAGGCTGATGTGGGAGGAAAGCCCAGATGTTGAATGATCTGAGAGTCCTTAACCAAAGGCAGCTGATCAGACATCTTCTCCTCCCCGCCCTCTCCCCCGCCCCACCACCTGCACAGCAGCAAGAAAACGGCCATCTTGCTGACCAAGCAGTGACACCGAGCCTCAGGGCCAGGGGCCACCAAGGGCCATGGAGGCTGCTCCGCCTGCTAGAGCATTGTCATCAGAGGCAGCTACCACCCTCCCACACCTGCCCGGCTGGGCACCTAGAATCCAACTGTCCTGCAGAGTCCATGCTGGACGAGAGGCTCAGGCCCTGAGGGGAGGTGGGGAGGAGGCGGCCTGAGGAGGTGGCAGGGGAGAAGCAAGGTTGAGCCCTGCTTGGCCTCAGCTCTGGGCTGTGACTGGTCTCTATGGGCCTAGGCTACATACAGCCCATGGGAATGGTCTGGGACATCTTTGCAAACACCCACAAGCCCCTGCGCCCCCCCCCCCCCCCCGTAGAACAACCCCCTCAGACAGGTGTGGCTAGGCTATGGGCAGTGAAGACAGAGGACTTCTCCCCCACCAGCCCTAGTGGCCTTCAGGTTTTCTTCTTAGAAGCCCTTTGTGGGCTGGGTGTCAGAACCAATAATACAAAGGTCCTCCACCTGTTCAGAGGTCTCCAGGGGCCCAGCACCCACTAGATAGAGGCCACGTTTCTCTGCCTGCTGATACCCACCCCCAACCTCAGTTTCTGAGCACCCTGAACATGCCCACGGTTTCTGCTTATGTGGGTCCCTTCTTGAGATGTCTCCTCTCCTTTCTTCGCTTACTCAATTTCCAGGTTGTCCTTCCAGGCTGCCTTCAGGCACCACTTCCCAGGAGGCAATTCTCCAGCCCGGTCTCCTTCCTCGTCCCCACTCCTGTAGGGCCTACAGCTTCTCCTCTGGGCTCCACAGTCTCTGTGATTCCTGGGTCACACATTTACCCCAATGGCAATTCAATTCCCTCCTAAATGTCTCTCTCCTAACTGGACAGTGGCTCCTGGAGGGAGGGGTGACCTGGCTCATCTCCAAAGCCTGGCTCACAGTAAGTGCTCAGTTAAAAGTTATCTCCTCATTGTTTGTCTACCAGGACCTCAGTGGATACAAATCCTGCTTCTAATAACAAGGGGCTCTTGACTCTTAACTGAGAAGACCTTCCTACCACCTATCTTCCTGTCTTTCCAGCTGCTGGGGGCAGCCCAGAACCTCTCATATCACACTGGGTGTTCAGGGAACTCAGGTTTCAGTGGGCCCCTGCCCAGCCTGCTCCCAAGTTCAGCCTTCTGTCCTAGAAGAGTGGTGGGGTGTAGATGCGAGGAGGCTTGAGAGTGGGGTAAGGAACTCAACTGTTGAGACTCGGACCTCCCTGGCCACGTTAATCATCAGTGCCTACAGAGCCGGCTCTTTATCTCCGTTCTCCATTGGTTTTTCAGTTGGGGAAAAGATTGAATAACACTTCAACTCTCTCTTGTATCAACCCTGGAGGGGTCCAGTGGGAGAAGTCTGAGCCCGTCAAGGTCGCTTATTCTTTGGGAAACACTCTCCAAACTAACATCGTGTTTGAGGGGGCGGGTGCCCTCCCTTCTTTCTCCCTCCAGCCCCACCGGTCCCGCAGCTGTGCCGAGCCGGAGCAGGGCAGGACGCAGGGAGCCTTTCCAGGGTTATTCCCAAGGACGTGCCCCAACAGGAACGGCATCAGGGTCAGCTGGGCCAAAGGAAAGAGGACTTGGGGGTACGAACGCCCCACCCTCTCCCACTCCTCGGCCCGCCTCACGTCTGGGGCCCAGGCCCTCGCCTTCCCCGCGAAGCCCCGCTTCCTGGAACGGGGACTGGGAACTGAGCGCGGGTAGGACGGCTCTGGCAAGCCTCCTCGTGGTGGGCGGGGCCTAGCTCAGTGGGCGGGGCCTGGCTCGCGCGAAACCTGCCCGCCCCGCCCGCCCCGGGAGTGTCTGCTCGCGCCACGCGCCTGGAGCCACAGCCGCGTCGGAGACTCGCAGCCTCTGTCCCATGGCCTGGTCTCCCCGCCGCTCCGCGGGCCGGCGACTGCAGCTGCCCCTGCTGTGCCTCCTCCTCCAGGGCGCCACCGCCATCCTCTTTGCGATCTTTGTCCGCTACAACCGTGAAACCGACGCTGCCCTCTGGCACTGGGGCAACCACAGTGACGCGGACAATGAATTTTACTTTCGCTACCCAAGTGAGTGCGGGTGAGGGCGCGCGGGGAGCTAAGACCCTAAGTTTCCCTGGTGTCTTGGGAGGGAGTACTTGGGAGGGAGCCCAGATCTACCCCTAGGTGGGCAACCCTCTTGCTTTGAGATGAAGGTGCCCCAGATTTATAATAATATCCTTTCACTAGTGTCTGCCACGTTCCAGGTATTATGCCAAGGGCGGCACATGCATTTCCTCCTTTAGTCTGTGAAGTAGACAAAGATGGGGAAACTGAGCTAAGAGAGGTTAGGTGGCTGGTTCAAGGTCTCGCTGTTAGAACTGAGCGAGCTGGGATTTGAACCCAAATCTGAAGCTCCAGCTTTACCTACGCTCCTGTTGGCCTCGCTGGGCTTTGCCTAGAGACTTTGTCTTGTCTCAGGCCTCCACCCTGAACACAAGGAGAAAAAGAAATCCTCTGGGCAGGGGAGGTAGGGGGTGGGGTGCGGGAGACAGTGATGCGGGTAATAGCTGTGAAGGCAGCCAAGGCTAGTGGGTTCAGACATTTCTTCCCCAGCCCCCCAAAGCTGGTTCTTCCAGAGTCAGAGAAAAAATGATGTAAGTAGCCACCAGCCAATCGCAGAGTAGCAGCCTCACAGCCCGGAGGAGGAGGCAAGGCAGGGCCATTAACCCATTTCACAGGGAAGGAAGCTGAGGCTCAAAAGGGCTGTGATTCATTCAGGATCACCTAGTATGTGAGTGACAGAGATGGAACTAGGACTTGGTCATCCTAAGCTCCTAGCCCCATAGCTCACCTGCATGCTGACAAGGCCCAGGAAGGAGAAGTTTGAGCCCCTGCTTCATGTTGTGGCCAGAGCCTCTCCCTCAAGGTTGGGGGACCAGCCTTGTGACTCAGGCCCTGGGCAGCTAGGACCAAGGGCACCAAATCTCCCAAGCTTTGTTACAAATGTTTGAGCAGGTCTCCAAGCCTCAATTTTCCCCATCTGAGCAATGAGAAGAAAGGTGCCTCTGTTTGAAAGATATACATTCAAACAAGGCCCAGAATGTGGGTGTGTCCTATAAAAATCCCAGCTTTTATTACCTTACTTTCTGTGTGCAGAGCTGGTGGCAGCTGTCCTCACCTGACTCTCTTCCAGCCCCAATACAATGAAGCTCACAGGGCTGAGGATGAAGTGGAGGCTTGGTTTTGTTCAGTTACTCCACCATGTCCAACTCTTTATGACCCCATGGAATGCAGCATGCCAGGCTCCCGTGTCCTTCACCATCTCCCAGAGTTTGCTCAAATTCATGTCCATTGAGTCGGTGATGCCATCTAACTATCTCATCCTCTCTTGCCCCCTTTTCCTCCTGTCCTCAATCTTTCCCAGAATCAAGGTCTTTTCCAGTGAGTCAGCTCTCTGCATCAGGTGGCCAAAGTATTGGTGGAGGCTTGGTCCTAGGCAGAGGGGGCTACAGCTCCTCCTTCCCCACATTTTATCCCAGTTCTGGCTGCATGAGTGAGCCACGGATGCTGAAATCAAAGCCACAGAGCTGGGATGGCAGGCTTTTGGAGTCATGCATTTGTCCAGAGTTGGAGGGGGAACAGTCCATGGACTGAGAGTTGTAAGCTCTTACTTTAGAGTCTGACCTGGCTGCCTGTCATGAACCCCTATTGGCTCTTCCCATGGGCCTCAATCAAGGCCTCCAAGCCCTGCTTGCTTCAAAGGCCTCCCTGACCTTCCTTGCCCTTCTGTTGCATGATAAACTCTCCTGAATGCACAGCTTTCTGTCCCTGGATTGCAGTAAGAGGAACAGCAGTGGGAATCCTTCCTCTTTCTGCACTAGGTTTTTATCCCTGTGGACTTGGGACCCTGGGGATGGGTTGGAAAGGAGGGAGGTGTGAGGTGCCTGGAGCCTGGGGCTTTGGTGCGCCGAGTCACCACGGTTCCTGTGTCCAGGAGAAGTGGTCAGGGCCAGGGTGGTGTGGACACTGCCCTTTGATTTGGGAGATGAAAGGGAGTTTTGCCGCTGCCGGTAAGCAGTGGAGCTAGCCGACGCCACGGGCATGGCTGCTCTGAGTGTCTGCTGTTATCTCTACAGGGAGGGCCTTCAGAGCCCAGCTGGTTCACTCCTCTCAGAGGTGGAGAGAGAACCAGAGAGGTAATGCGACTGCGCCAGATGACACAGCACGTCAGCCCACCTAGAACCAGGTCTCTTGACTCCCCATCTTCAGCATTTCCCCCACATTGCAAACCTCTTATTTCATGGGATAAGTCATGGAAAATCAGAGGGGGAAAAGACTAGGGGGAAGGTCTAAGTGTGCAGGGGACACAGAAGCAAAGATGAGAAAGGGTTCTAAGAAAAAATATGGACAGGTTCTTTTTTGTCTGTCTCTGAGACCTTACTTGCAAGAAGAGGGATTTAAGACAGATGGAAACAGGATCTTCCTGAGGTGGGGTTAGGGGTGTGGGTGACGGACCAGAGTGGTTTGTGACTCTTCTAGGAGAACACAGCCCGATCTGCCCTCTTAAAGGCAGGTGGAGGTAGAGCGGTGGGGAGAGCTGGCCTCCCCAGCTCACCACTCCCTTTTTCCTGCTTCTCATATTTTATATCCCCGCTTTGCAGATGAGGAAACTGAGGCTTAGAGAGGTTAAGTGTCTTACCCACGGTCACACAGTGAGAAGTGTAGGGGTGTGTGTGTGTGTGTGTGTGCGCGCGCGCGTGCATGCATGTGCTGAAATTTAAAGCCAGCTCTGTGAGGTGCTAAAGCCCCAGCTGTCCCTGTTCCCTTGTCCCACAGTCTGACCTTGTTCAGGAATCATCTGGTGGGGTTGGGGAGAGGCAGTAAGGGAAGGAGGGAGGATGACAGGTGGCCCTGGAGGGCCTTAACCTTCTCTCCATCCAAAGGTGCATGGGTTTGGAGGGGTTGGGGATATGATGGGAAACAGACTCCATGCTGCTGGACCCAGGGATCCCCTGAAGGGAATGTTGAGGGATCATCATATCTATCCCCCTGCCTCCAGCTGGAATAACCCCTTACCCTCCATAGCCCACAGAGAATGTCTGTGTGGAACATTCCATGGAATGGAATGAATAAAGGAGATTTCTTGGTGTTTAGATTCCAGGTGAAAAGCCATGGGATTGAGTTTTGATTCCAAACAAACCCCAGGTAGGAGATGTAAATATTGCCATTTAAGACAAGTTCTGGAGCGGTTTGGGCACAGAGCCCTGTGCCCCAGCCCCCTCTGTTGTCTTGCTGTCCTTGGGCGAAAGAACAGACATTGCATCCTCTTTACTATTTGCACAAGGAGAAGACAAGTCAGTGGTGAGGCTGAAAGCACTAAGGCTTCATACTGAGATCTAAACAATACCTCTCCTTTTCTGTTGGGTTTTAAGACCTGAGAGGGAAGAGAGATCTTGGTGACTTGAGGAGTGGGCAGGGCTGGAGTAGTGGCACAGTGGTGGGGACATCTAGCGAGGCCAGTGGACCTCCAGACCCTCACCCCCTTGGCTGTGGGGGCTGCATGTCCCCAACTCTCTGCAGGGGCTTGCAAACTCCTTTCCTAACAGCCCATACTCAGCGCGCACACACACACACACACACACACACACACTTGCTTCTCTCAAAGTTATTGATTGCATTCTAAAGTTCAGTAGTACATATTTGGCTTGTTGATGGTTCTTATTTATTTGTTTGGCTGTGCTGGGTCTTAGATGTGGCCCTTAGGATCTTTAGTAGCCACATGTGGGATCTAGTTCCCCAACCAGGGATTGAACCCAGGCCCTCTACATTGAGAGCAGAGAGTCTTAGCCACTGGGCCATCAGGGAAATCCCTTATTGTTGCTTCTTTACCTTTAAACAAAAAAGGTGATTGTGATTTTTTTCTTTGTGATCTGCCTCTTTCTACTTGAATTCCTTTACAACAAAAACATGTGAATAAGAAAAGAAAAGCAGAGAAAAACACAAATAATGAAGACTGTGAAGGCCTATAGCAGTTATAGTTGAAATTCCAATGTAGCTTTGAACTACGGGCAGCCAAGAAAAAGGGGAAATATGGACAGTTACATGTTCTCATCAGAATAAAGGAAGCCTCATATACGTGATTCTTTGATTCCTTTGATGTCTGTCTTCCAGTGACAGCTACATTCCCAGAGTCTGATGCATGACTGCTTAGGTTTTTTGTTTGTTTGTTTGTTTTTAGTTCTATGACTTCTTAGTAAACATAAGTGAAGGAAAGCAGGTCAGTTCCTTGTTCCTTAGGGGAGATGACATTTCCTAGTACTAAGTTCCAGGAGAAATTTCCCACCTGGAGCTATGAAAGGAGAGTTTAGGGTCATGGTTGGTCGACCCTGTTTCTCAATAAGTTATTTACAACAGATGCAATAATGCACTCAGATGTTCCTCTAGTGTTTCGCAATTAAAGCCAAGGATAGCACAGCATTTCTGATACACAGACCCAAGACAAAGGAAACAGGATGAGATGCACTGGCTGAACATCACCCGAGGTTGTGTTTCTAGCCCTATTTACAAGTATATGGTGGGAGGGGGTACAAAACAAAATAATACAAAGCAAATTGTTGTATGTATCTCATTTTCAATATGGCTGTTTATTATTTTAGATTTTTGTACACTAAATGGAAAGCAAACAGAAAAGACCCCAAGTCTCCCTCCCCAGAAACCCCACTGACACTTAAAAAATTCAAGTAATTCATCTATAAAGTTAAGATATCCAAAGTATAGAAAGAAGCAAACTATAGGGTAAAATCTTCTTTCCCATAAGTGGCCATATTGCAAATCTCCAGGGGGCGTTATTTGCACCAGAGTTGTATGGCTCAGCAGCCTTCCCCCTCCCTTCAATTCCTTTTTTCCCTAAGATAAGCTCTTAACAAAGTTATTAAAGTTATTTTATACAGTTCTACAAAGTTAACAGTTATTTTATCAATTAATTTGTAAAATTTTAAACCCTAAAATTGGAGAGGCATAGATTCTGAAGTATGAGGAATGGAGGTTAGACATCAAGATGAACTTCCAGCACAGAGGCCAGAAGGGGAAGAGAATTCCATCACAGAGGGCGGGGGCTGCTGCAGGAAACCGCACAGGAAAGGTGGGACTTTTCACCGGTCGTAAAGTCCCAGGGATTGGGCCGTTGAGCCGGGTAGAGAAGAGAGCAGAAGGCTCTACTCTCTTGCTCTGACCTGGGGACAACAGGGATGGTGGGGGTCCCAAGCTGGGCAGCTCTATACCGGTGAGCCAGGCTGGGAGGCCTGGCCACGCTTTGGGGAATTTTATAGGCTTGGCTCCAGCCTCAAGGCGGCACTGGCTGGTGAGAGCTGGGGGATGCAGCAGGATGGCTGATGGGTAGATAGGTGGTGGCCTAAGTAGTCCCAAATGCCCCCCTCGCAGGCTTCCAGGATGTACATGTCATGATCTTCGTGGGTTTCGGCTTCCTCATGGTCTTCCTGCAGCGCTACGGCTTCGGCAGCGTGGGCTTCACCTTCCTCCTGGCCGCCTTTGCCCTGCAGTGGTCCACGCTCATCCAGGGCTTCTTCCACTCCTTCCGCGGTGGCTACATCCTTGTAGGCATGGAGAGGTGGGCAGCAGGGGCCTCCCTGGCTCCCCTAGGTTTCCCTGGGAGGCCCCTGCCCAAGGGACCCAGCTCATGCCTGGTCTTTCAAGTTCGCTTCCTGACCTAGGTTTTTGACCCATCAGCTGATTTCTTTTAGGTACCCTGCCTGTTATTGCCTGATTTCTTCCTCCATCCTTGACCCACACCTCCCTTTAGGCCCCTTATTACTCAAGAGCTGTTGGGAGGATAGATAGCATCGTGGAAAAGGGCAGGGCTGGCTGTTGATTCAAAAGCTGGTTCTTCCACTTGTCCTGGCCTTGTTTGCCAAATCCCAGAATCTCCACAAAAAAGGGAGGTGATCCCTTCCCACCTTCCAGGGAAGAATTTAGCCTGGTGCGTTCATTGCCCCCTCCCCGCCCCCTCCGCCTCGGGCCGCCCTTGTTTCCAGCCCCCCTCACCGCCCCGCATCCGAACCCCCAGCATGATCAATGCTGACTTCTGTGCTGGGGCCGTGCTCATCTCCTTTGGGGCCATCCTGGGCAAGACTGGGCCGGTTCAGCTGCTGCTCATGGCCCTGCTGGAGGTGGTGCTGTTTGGCCTCAACGAGTTTGTCCTCCTCAGTCTCCTGGAGGTGAGTTGGGATGGGGATGGGGTGAGGAGTGGGCATGGCCAGGCCCTGAGCAGGGAAGGCATGGGGTAGGAGTGGGGCAAGGGGCTGCCCTTTGACCTCAGCCCCCACCTCCCCAGGTGAAGGATGCAGGAGGCTCCATGACTATCCACACTTTTGGTGCTTACTTTGGGCTGATCCTCTCCCGGGTCCTCTATAGGCCCCAGCTGGAGAAAAGCAAGCATCTCCAGGGTTCCGTCTACCATTCGGACCTCTTTGCAATGATTGGTGAGGCCTGCCGAGGTGTGGTGGGCGAGGGGCCAGTTCATATCCAGGCTTGGTCTCGGGGTGCCACCTGTAAGTCATGGGGTTCTGGCAGCAAACTCCCTTCCAACTCAGACTCTTCCATCAGAGCCTGGGGACCCTTGCTCATCATTTTTGGTAGTTTTATGACAGGTTTTTAGAACTCAGAGCTCATGGATCTCAGGGCTCCATCCCAGAAAATGTTCATGAAGGTGTTAGTCGCTCAGTCTTGTCCAACTCTTTGTGACCCCATGGACTGTAGCCCGCCAGGCTCCTTTGTCCATGGGATTCTTCAGGCAAGAATACTAGAGTGGGTTGGTTGCCCTACCCTCTTCCAGGGGATCTTCCTGACCCAGGGATCAAACCCAGGTCTCCCGCATTGCAGGTGGATTTTTCACTGTCTGAGCCACCGGGGAAACCCAAGATCCATCCCAGGGGCCTTTCTAGATCCAAGTCTGATGGTACCTACCTCTGTTTAAAGGCCTTGAGGGCCCCCTACCCACAGTTAAATGCCAGACTCCTCAGTCAGGCATACTGGCCGCTGCAGTCATTTGCTCCCCTTCCCCTCCCCACTCCCCGCCTCTTTCTCCCCCTCTCTCTCCAGCCAGACTCAGCTTCTCCCCATCTCTAACCTCTAGGCCTTTTCCCTTGGTGCTGCCTCCCACCTCCTGAGGACACTTCCTCCCAGGAGATTTCCTGGAAGCCCCGGCACTCTCAGGAGAGAAGGAGAGGTCACAGGTCACCCGTGGGAGGAGTAGGGTCTGACCTGCAAGCACCCTCATTACCACCTATTTCTTCTAAGCCTGTACCTCTGCTCCTCTCCATTCACTGATGAGTCAGGAAAGGAAATTGATATTTTACCTTTTTGAAGGTAGTATTGAGTAGTTACTGAAGTGCCCATTCTTACATTAAAAAGAGACTTACTTTGTGTTTCTTGATCACATCTGGGTGTGTTGTGAAACAGAGCACATGGAACCCTAGGTCAACTGAGGCCTCCTTGCCCTTTGATAAGTTTGGTTTGAAGTCCAAAGGCCTTCTGAAGATTTCTGTGCTTTCCTGGGAGGCTTACATTCTCAGATTTCCTCTGCCTCCCTCCTACTGGACAGGAAAATGGGTCTCTTCCTTGATTCCTCCTAAAACTCTTCTCAGAAGACACATGTGTATGTGTGGTAGATTTTACTGCAGACTGTGGAGGTGCAGAAGTTACATCGCAATCCAAGGACCACTCAGGACTAAGGGGCAGTCCCTCAAGCCTCTTTGCCATGCTGGCCCTACCCCACAGGGTCCCCAGACCCCTCCTCTCTTGCCCCCCACCTCTCCCTCCAGGACAGACCTGGGAACCTCACAGGGCAGCAGGGCCTATGGAGCTCCCAGTTCCTGCCCTAGATGCCCAGGCCCAGCTCATCAGTGCTCCATGCAGGGCCCACCCTCTCCAGGTGGCAGTTGAGGTTATAAAACAAATGATATTCCTGTTATGGATATCAAGTGCCAGATTCGTGCCTGACATGTGGTGCCCTTTGCCTTTTTTTTTTCCTTTTCTGATACTTAAAACTCAATCCCCCCATGGTTTTCAATCAAGTAACTAACTCCCTCTCATGCCAGTACCCTTCAATGGTACCAGTTGTTAGACATTTAGTACCAGCTAGGCCATGGAAGACACTTGAGAGTCCCTTGGACAACAAAGAGATCAAACCAGTCAATCCTAAAGGAAATCAACCCTGAATCTTCATTGGAAGGACTAAAGCTGAAGCTGCAATGCCTTGGCCACCTGATGTGAAGAACTGACTCATTGGAAAAGACCCTGATGCTGGGAAAGATTGAAGGTGGGAGGAGAATGGGACAACAGAGGATGAGATAGTTGGATGGCATCATCAACTCAATGGACAGGAGTTTGAGCAAGCTCTGGGACATGGTGAAGGACAGGGAAGCCTGGTGTGCTGCAGTCCACAGGGTCACAAAGAGTCGGACACAACTGAGCTACTGAACAACAACAATGAGGCCATGGTTGGATTTCCCTGGTGGCTCAGCTGGTAAAGAATCCAGCTGCAATGCAGGAGACCTGTGTTTGATGCCTGGAAGATCTCCTGGAGAAAGGAATAGCAATCCACTCTAGTACTCTTGCCTGAAGAATCCCTTGGACAGAGGAGCCTGGGGGGCGACAGTCCACATGGTCGCAAAGAGTCAGACATGACTGAGCAACTAACGCTAACTAAAGCAACAGACCGTGGCTAGGTACTTGGTATGCATCATCTCACTTAGTCCTCTCTTCCTGAGGTATATGTCACCAGCCCCACTTTACAGATGAGGAAACAGGCTGATGAGAGTAAGTGACTTGACTGCAGTTACGCAACGTGTACCTTGTGAGGGAGTCACTTACTTCCTCTCATTCTGCCTGCCTGCCCACCATTTAGGGACCATCTTCCTGTGGATCTTCTGGCCTAGTTTCAACTCTGCACCCACCGCCCTGGGGGACGGGCAGCATCGGACCGCTCTCAACACATACTACTCCTTGACCGCCAGCACCCTCAGCACCTTCGCCTTGTCAGCCCTTGTCGGGGGGGATGGGCGGCTGGACATGGTATGGGGAAGAGGCGTGGGGAGAGGCAGAGGGGTGGACTGGGAGGCCAGGGAGAGGTCTGAGACCCTGCAAGGTTGATCCTCCAGGGGAACAGGTAAGGGCAGAGGCACAGCGGGCTACATCTACACTGGAGGCGCTGGGGTCAGAGCAGGAGGTGAGGCGAGGCCCACAGGAGAGGTGGAGGATTAGGTGGTGGAGAAGCATCGGGTGGCACTGTGGTGGGCGGGCTTGGGGTGGGGGTGGGGGTGGGGCTCAGAAAGGGCCTCGCATGCCTGTCTCTTCTGTGCTCCCTAGGTCCACGTGCAGAACGCAGCACTGGCCGGAGGGGTTGTAGTGGGGACATCAGCTGAAATGATGCTGACACCCTTTGGGGCCCTGGCAGCTGGCTTCCTGGCTGGGGCCATCTCCACACTGGGGTACAAGTTCTTCACGGTACATAAGCCCCTCGGGCCCTGAGCAGGGCAGAGGGTCTTCACACCCTTCCTTCTCTCCAACAGGCCTGGGTGAGGGGGGACACATGAGACTCATGATTGGTGTCCTGTCCTCCAGCCCATCCTTGAGTCCAAACTCAAAATCCAAGACACATGTGGCGTACACAACCTTCATGGGATGCCGGGGGTCCTGGGAGCCCTCCTGGGGGTCCTTGTGGCTGGGTTGGCCACCCATGAAGCTTATGGAGATGGGTGAGTTCTCCCCACCCTCACCCCACCCCCAGTCCTCAATGGAATCATTATCACCCTGAAACTAACTCCCTCAGTCTCTTTCTCCTTTTGTGGACCACCACTGCCAACAAAAAAAAGCTGCCTATTCTCATTCATTCATTGATCCATACCCTGGAAGCTGAAGAAACTGGGGTGGGGACTGCCTTCTTGGTCCTCAGTCAAGCGCAGCAGAAGGACGTTGAATAAATGATTTCAACAGTGTCATTATTAAAGGGTCAAGGAAGAGACACTGACCCTTAGGATAAATTTTTGCACATCAGGGCTCAGGGGAGAGGGGAGGCAAAAGTGACCCTCAGACTGAGCCTTGAAAGGTGTGAGGGCATTGCTGGCACACGGGATGGGAAGGTGTTCCCCTCCAATGGGCTCAATGGGAGCAAAGGCCTGGAGGTGACAGCCTGGCAGGCTCCCCAGGGCCCTTTCAGCTGCTGCAGAAAGCGGTGCAGGACACTGGTGCGCTGACCAGCCCTGGCTCTGTGCTCCATCCCTGTCTCCCCACACCCTCCTCTCCCTGCAGCCTAGAGAGTGTGTTTCCACTCATAGCCGAGGGCCAGCGCAGTGCCACGTCTCAGGCCATGCACCAGCTCTTCGGGCTGTTTGTCACACTGACATTTGCCTCTGTGGGTGGGGGCCTTGGAGGTGAGTGACCTTGGCTGGTGTCGGGAGTTGGCAGGAGGAGCTCCAGGGAGGGAAGAAGACAGGGCGGGGGGCGGGGGTTTCTCTGGAGGAAGGGCCATTGGATCGACCCCATTGCCCTGACGTTCAATTTTACTCTGTTGAGCACCTACTTCGTGCCAGGTGCAGGGTGGGGTTGTGGTGTTCAGGGGTAACTCCCTCTGGGTAAGGAGAACCAAGCAGGTGCTTTCTCCCTTCTGGTCACAAAGGAAGGTGGGAAGCCTGCTGACCAACCCCTCTCCTCTGTGGCTTGTGTGTGCCTCTCCCCACTAGAGGGCAGTCCAACCTCAGGCTGAGGCCCTGAGGCCTGTGGTGCCATCTCCCAGGCGGGGGCTGGGGTGGGGTGGGGAGGGAAGAGGCCTGGCTGGCTCACCAACAGACTGGGGCACAGAAACCTTCCACAGAGGCAGCCTGCCCACTGATACCAGGCCAGGCAGTCCCTCCTGATGTCTGTATGCTTCGGTATCCCCACCTTCCTGCTCTCACCTTGAGATCTTATCCTCAAATAAGAGTTCACTCCTTCATTTAATTACTTATTTACTCAAGATACACTTCCTGCATCCCTCTTGGAGAGGAGCCCACAGAAAGCTTACAAGCTGTGGTTCATGACAGACTCACTATTTGGTCCATTCCCGCTGTGCACACTTTCGTATGTGACTTCTCTGAACCTTGGTCCCCTTCTCTGTAATACAGGGATCCTATCCATCTTGCAGGGTTGCTGTGATTACTCGGGGAGGCAGTGCTTTGCACGCATTCTGCACAGGGCCTAGCAGAAGTGGCGCTTGATAAATACTGCTGTGATCTGCCTGTGCCAGGCATCACATTGCCCTCACGGCTCCCAGCTCCTCTGTGCCCTAGCGACCCCCCCATGGGGGCAACAACAAGCCTCACACATTGTCTTCTACTGCCACCAGGGCTCCTGCTGAAGCTGCCCATCCTGGACTCCCCACCAGACGCCCAGTGCTATGAGGACCAGATTTACTGGGAGGTGAGGTGTCGCCTCCCCTCAGGCCGTTGTCCTCTCACTCTCAAACGCCCCCTTCCCTGCCTCGCCTCCTCTGGTCCAACCTGCCTCCTTCCTCCCCTGCTCCTCTCCTCTGGGGTTCACCCTTAAGCTGTGGTCTCCGTCCTCTGACCCTTCACCTGCTCCTCCATCCCCGCCCTCCAGGTGCCTGGGGAACATGAGCATTTAGCCCAAGGATCAGAGGAAACAGAGACTCAGGCCTAACTTGCTTCCAGCCCTTGGAAGGATGCTCTCCTTTCAGAAGAGGATGACTACCTACCATGGGGAAGCTCCTCATTATTAGCTCCCATCACTTCTGCGCAGGAAAGAAGACAGGAGCTCCTTTCCATAGGGAGCCTTAGGGGAGGGGTGGTGGGAGGCTGGGGAGATGGTGGAGGAGCCAGATGGCTATAACTGGTCATGGTGAGGAGAGGGCCCTACACACCCTACCCCCACCCCACCACCCCACGCCCTGCAAGTGAGGCACTCGAGGGACTGCTGATTCCCTGGACCAGCATCACTCAGTTACTGTGAAGCCTGAGCCAGGGCCTGGCTCTCTGAGGGTGATAAATACCATGGTCACCAAGGACTCTGACTCCTTTATTTTTGTGCAACTGAGAATTTGGGGAGTTGCTCACACCATCTAACTCACAATATTAGAACCTCAGGTGAAAAAAGACCTGACTGGTGACAACATCCTGCCTCCTTGGGTCTAAGGAACTCCCCCTAGGGTGCTGTCTTCTATGAGGGCAATGCCCAGACTGCGCTTACTTGCTTCCAGAGATAGGGAGCTCATTCCCCTCCAGCAAGTGTGTGTTTGTTACAAGACAGTTCAGTCTGCTAGAGAGCTCTTCCTATTCTAGAATGAATACCACTCTGACCCTCAACTTGGGTGACCTCTGAACAGAGTAGGAAGGGGGCCCCGGGAGGCTTAAGAGTAGCATAAGGAGTTCTTCGCCACTAACTCCTCAGAAGCTGGAAGCAGCCAGCCCCCAGGCACCAACTTAGGTCCCTGTCCGGAGTCTAAGGAGTGGGACCTAGGAAGGGCAAGGCAGAGTTGCTGTAGGGAATGGGGAAGGCAGGCCCAGGGCTTCCGCCGGCCTGACACCATCAGACCACCAGAGGGCGCTCCAGACCCAGCAGAGGAAGATGGGGCCTTCATGCTCCAGCATCCTCTACCAAGAATGGAAGTCCTTCCTGCAGCTTAATGGCCTTCCTGCCTGCTTCAGCTCTGGTCCTCACTACTGCTGCCACAAGACTTTTCTGAGCTCCCAGTCCCCATCACATGTCAGGCGGTGCTAGGGCTTCCAGATCTTTCATTCGACTAGGAATCCATCCTTCCAGTAGACCAGAGCTCTTTTCCCAAACCTGAAGTGCTGGGAGCCCCTCTGCCCTCTCCTGCTGCTCCCCAGGCTTCTGACAGGAGTGAACAAGACTACAGACCTCTTCCTCAAGACCAAACCCCAGGACGGATTTCTGGGGCCTAATCCTGGGATAGGGGCAAAAGGTGTTCCCACGAGGTTCCATCCTCACTGTTAAAGGGACTGAGTTGGGCTGGAGAAAGAGGACAGCACAGAGCTGAGGAAAAGCTGAGGAACAAGGAGGGCTGTTGAGGGACAAGTGCTCCATGGGACTCCCCGTTTGTGGCCCAAATAGGCTTGGTGTATCCCTCCCCTTGAGTTCCCCTCCTTCCTCCACAGCCTCCCCTGCCCTGTTGCTGTCTGGGATCGGTATGTTGGAGGGAGATCCTTGTGCTGAGGCAGAAGGATGACTGCTGAGATTTGCAGAAAGGCAGCCTGTCCCGTGAGCCTCAGGAGGGTGGGAGTCTGGACAAGCAGAGGCCCATCCCCCATTCCATCCTGCAGAGCCTTCCCTCTAGCCCTGAAAAGATCCAGGTACAGTCAGCTGACCTGTTCTGCCCCCGAGCTTCCCGACCAGTCCTCAGAGATCTGAAAGACTGATAGGAAAGGAGAGACTTGAGGATAAGACCCTCCCTGCCCTTGCTTAGCCTGGGTGGCTAAAGCTCCAGTATATGAGTATTCATTTACACATAACCACCAGCATTTTCGCACCTGATCTTTTCCTGATCACGCTGGTTCTTTTCTGACCATAACCAAATCTCCTCCAGGCTTGACAAAATGGGGCTGCTCCAGCCCAGGCTGGTTACTGCTCCCATCTCAATCCAGGGAGACTTCCTGAAGAAGTGACAATTGAACCCTCCCTGGGAGAGGACAGTTACCAGCTTCTAAGGGAGGAAGGTCCCAGGGTGGCCCACCAAGAGGTCCTTGAGAAAGGAGGGACAGGGTGGTAGCTACCCAACAAGAGACGGCCCTTAAAATCCTGTAACCAAACGGTCGAGTCTCCATTACTCCCTCGAAGCTGCTCACAGCCCTACTGCTGAGATCTACAAGATCCAGAACCCTGGCTTCACAGCTCAGGGGACTCTGTCCAGGGCTGAACTCTTCAAAACCAGGCCCTTGTTTTTTCATTATACATTTCCTCCTCTCCCTCTTACAGCTTTTCCTCTGGTGCCCAGCACCCTGGTGGGCAGTCCATAGATGGTTCAGTCCGAGTGATGGACTGAGCCATCATCATTTGCAGTTTGGGTATGGAGTGCTCCTCCATCACTGCTTTGAGGCAGATAGCTCAGAGGGCAAAAAATGCCCTATCTCCTAGGGTATCCTAGGAGCCTGTCTGCTGCCCTGCGACTGAGCGCCTCCCCCATCTTTCCTGTAGCCCCTAGCTCAGCACCATCGGTCCCCCACACACAGTGGCCCATCCATTCAGGCTGGGTCAACAGGGTGACAATGAGCAGGTCAAGGAGATGGCGGGGACAGGGGCCAAGGGGGCTCCTTCCTCACCCCTTCAGGACAATGAGGCCTCTGCCACTCACGGACAGCCCCTCTGATCACCACCACTATTACTCTCAATGCAGGACAATCGGACACTTGCCCACTCATGGACTCTTGTCCGTCCAGCCCCAGTGCCTGAGTTCTGGGGACAATGATGGACGAGGACCCTGAGCCCTGCTTGCCTCCAGGAGCCCCACTGATGGGGAAGACCAGCTGTCCCGGGGGCCATTGTCAAGCCAGCAGGGTCAGAACCCTCAGGGAAGGGTTTCTGGAGGTGGTCACTGTTCTGCTTTGGCACAAGTATGTGTGGGCGACAACAAGGCTTCCTGGCCAGACATCTGGCGGAGAGGCCCAAGGTTCCCCACGGACCTCAGGGTGCTTTTGTGCCTGTGTGGCCGGACAGTCCCCTCACCATACCCAGGCCAGAAGCTCCGAGCTGCTCCTGTGACCCCGGGAGGACCCCGCCCTCCGGACCTGCGCAGCCTGGGAAAGGCCTGAGATGCCCCGCTATTGGGATTCAAATCACGGCGCACGGTGGCCCCAGCTCGAGGAGGAATTAGACACGGCGTGGGTGTCCGAAGTCGGGGGAGGTGGTGGTCCCGGGACAGACTAACTCGGCAGCCGTGCTCCCCCCACCTCACCCCGATATTTCTCTCCCACCGTCAGGATCTCCCCCACCCGCCGCCGCCCAGTTCTGCGCGCCCGTCTCCTTTGTCTGGCCCTCCCGCCCACTCCCAGCCGGGTCCGCCGAGCCGCCCGGCGCGCCGCGGCCCGTGCGCCCGCCGCCGCCGCCGCCTCCCGGGAACAATGCGGGCCAATGTCTCCGGGCGGGCGAGCGGGCTATGCAAATGTCCAACGGCCTGTGAGAATCCCCTTCTGCCGCCGCCGCGTCTTCCACCGCCTGAAAGGGGCTGGCGGCCAGGCCCGGGTGGGGGAGGCGGCCCCTGCATAGGGATGAGCCATCGTCCCGGAGCGCCTACCCGGGACAGAGTGCCATTGTCTCGGTAGGGCTGTCTGATCGCCCACCGGAGCCTCCAGCCCCGAGAGGAAGGCAGAAGAGACCAAAATCAGGCCTTGGGGCAGGGGAGGGGTGGCCACCTATTCCCTCCACTCCTACTCCTCTCCCCAAAGAGCCTTAACTTTAGGGTCAGGCCGTGGTGGGCCCCCAACTTGGCTCTCCAGCTCACTAGCTTGATGGCCTGCACAAACCAGTTCATTTCTCTGAGCCCCTGTATCCTGAAGGTTAAACCTAGCCTAGAGTTTCTCCTCTTCCCATCCTCCTTACCTGTTAACTGCCCTCCCCATCGCCATCCTCTTTTCACATGATATTGATCTGGGTTGTCTCTGGAGCCAGTTTCCTTCTAGAACCTTGAGGGAAATACTCCTGGTTTCCCCAAAACCAGGTTACTGGACAGGGTGAGCCCCAGGCCCAATCCAGGCCTCCTTCCTGCTTCCTTCTGATGCTACCAGTTGAGGAGGCCCACCTTTTTTGGGAGAAATACCAGCCATGCAGGACTGAAGCTTCTCCAGTGACTAGAGATTCAGTGATGGGGGTGCCACACCAAGTTCCCTCCCACAAATGAAAGAGGTGCAACCCAGGAGCCTGTGTCCATCTAACACATTGCACTGTTCAGCATTGGAGGAATATATCTGGGCAGTGGGCAAGAGACTGTGCTTGGAGCAGAGTCCATTTTAGCTGGGAACTTGGCCCTGGCTCTTGGGAGTTGCAGGCTGAGCTCCAGTAAATGGACTTTCAACTCTGCAAGGTGCAGGACCTGATTTCACCTTTCCTAAATTCCCGCACAGGCTCAGGATCCACGACTGATGCCCCTAGGGTGAGAGCTATTTCAGAAATGGTGCCTGGGCCCTTGAAGCAGTGATGCTTCTGGGACTCACAAGGTTTGAGGGGGGAAAATCAACTGGAGCAACAGTAAAATGAGAACTGATCAGGGAAGTTCAGGTTTTCAGTCCCAGTAAGGCAGGTTTCCGTGGTGGCTCAAATGGTAGAGAATCTGCCCACAATGCGGGAGACCTGGGTTTGATGCCCAGGTCAAAGAAGATCCTGGAGAAGGGAATGGTAACCCACTCCAGTATACTTGCCTGGAGAATTCCATGGACAGAGGAGCCCAGTGGGCTGCAGTCCGTGGGGTCACAAAGAGTCGGACCTGACTGAGCGACTAACACGTGCACACAGGCAGGAGAAAATTGAGAGAGGAAGAGGAGGAAGATGCTGGTAGGGCAGGGGTCTTGTGGGAAGCAGGATTATAGGGCTGCCTCCGAGGCCTGCTCATTTCTGCTTTGGCCTGGGGCTCTTCTTGTCTTCCTGGCCTCTGTGAAGTTCCAGGTACAACACGCATGGCAACTCCTTTCTGGGGAGGCAGAAGTGGGGTGCAGGCGGTGGAGCCTGGCCTCCTGGGAGAGCATTTGAGAGACTATGAGATAAGAGGGGAGTTTGAGGTGGGGTCAAGGGACGTGGGCTGGGAGCTGAGGCATTTCCATGAGCTAGGGAAGCAGTCAAGAGTTCTGTCTGCCTCTGCTGTCCACCTTTGAAAGTGCTGGTGATTTAGTCGCTAAATTGTGTCTGGCTCTTTTGTGACCCCAGAGGGTGTAGCCTGAAGGGCTCCTCTGTCCTTAGGATTTTCCAGGCAAGAATACTGGAATGGGTTGCCATTTCCTTCTCTAGGGGATTGTCTCTGATTCAAGGACTGAACCTAGGCCTCCTCCATTGCAGGCATCTTCCTTACGGACTGAACCACCAGGGAAGCCCTTGGAAGTAGGCTCCCTTGCAGCTCTTCACTGGGTCTCTGCTCCAACCTGGAACCCTTCAAAGCACTCTGACCTGGGGCTGCCCAGACTCTGAGGACCCCCAGATGCCACCCCTGGAAGAAGCCAAGCCAAGTCCTCACTTGCCTCCACACCTGGCTAGAGCCTCCCCTTGCCGGGCTCCCGAACACATCCTCCCCCCCTTGACCCTCCTTCTTCTCTTCCACTTGCAGGTGGTCCCCCGAGAGGCTTGCCCAGAGATTCTCTGCCCTGAAGGTGGCGCTCTGTCTCTTCAGCCTGGATTTCCAGGGCTCCCTGGGACTGTTCTGGATGGTCTTCGGAAAGGTCCTGGGCAGGATCCAAGCAGACCCAGCTTGGCTCTGAGGCTGAGAGAGGAAGTGGGCTTTGTTGTGCCAGGACATAGGCTGGATTCTTAAATTTGCTTTTCCTACCCTGCTCTCCTCGGTAAGAGAGCCCTCAGCTAGAGAAGCTGCCCCCCCACCCCCACCCCCGTGTCCCCTCCTTCTCAGCTTAGCACCATCCATCTCCCCAGAGCATGGAATGTGGCTCCCGGACACTGTGGGGCTTGTTCCCAATCCCCTTCTAGCTCATTTCACTCAGGCTTTTACAGGCTCGCCTCCATCCCACAGTCTGCTGTCTGGGATCTGGCTCTGAAGGCACAGACAGAGGACTCCCCTCCTCCCCGCAATTCCTCACGCTTCATTTTGTCCCAACGCCATCTGAGGAGGCTGCATCGTGGGGGGTCAAGGAACCCTGGTGTGGAAGCCGGTGGGGGGCAGGGTCCCCCTTCTTCCGGTCTCTCCAGCCACTGGGCTGGCCCCTGCGGTAGCCGCACTCTACAGCTGCGTGGTATCTGCAAGCTAAACACAGGGTCTGCGAGCCATCCATCCCATCCAACCCCCCACTCGCGTTCCTGTCCACGCCCCGCAAGCTTCGATTATTGGTGGAATTAGAACCGGGCTTCTTGTCGGCAGTTGCTAATTAAGATCATTTATAAACGCGACTATTAATGCCGTAGCGGGCTGCAGCCACCTACATCTCTCACCCGCACCATTGGCGAGGCGCGAGCTCTGGGATTGCTCCCGCCTGCCTCCATCTTGGGAAGGACTGCTCCCTTTCACCACCTACCCCACCGGGCTTCAGGCCTTCAAGGCAAGGGTCAGTGGGTACAGAGGCTTCGGACGGGGTTTAGCTGAGCCTTCCAGAGAAATGGAACTGTGAATGTGTGGTGTGGAGTGGAGCAGGAGGTGTGCTCTGTGAGTCACATGATGCTGGCTAGCATCTTTCTTTCCCAGAATGTTTGGGGCTGGGTCAGGATGGAGTTCATGAATACCCTAGGGAGAGCTTGGATGCACCCCTCTGCCCTCCTGCAACCCAAATACCAGCTTTGCCTTAAGCCAAGTGATATAGGATTTAATTTCTCCTCCTCTGATTGGGGGACCATTTCAGCGAGACAGTGAGACACTCCCTATAAAAGGGGATGGTGCATCTTAGTGGAACATTTACTTCATAGCTGCTGAGTACTACCAGGCGCCAGGCCTTAGGGATCTTCTCAGAAATAAATAACCCATTCCAGGGAACTGTCCCAAATCCCTCCAGGCTGGATGAGGTCTGCCTCCTCTGTAGACCCCCTCACCCCTTTCACACTTCAGCCAGCTTCACAATGTGTTATAACAAGCTCTTCATTTTTACCTGCTCATTCTCACTAGGGGTTTCCCCGGGTGGCACTAGCGGTAAAAAAAAACTTGCCCGCCAATGCAGGAGACATAAGAGACGCAGGTTCAATCCCTGGGCTGGACAAATCCCCTGGAGTAGGGCCTGGCAAACCACTCCAGTATTCTTTCCTGGAGAATCCCATGGATAGGGGAGCCTGATGGGATAGAGGAGCTATGAGCCCATAGTGTTGCCGAGTCAGACACAACTGAAGACTAAGGGACTTAGCACACTCGCAAGCACCCCCCGGACCGTGCGTGGCTCAAAGACAGCAGCTCCATGTTGCTCACTGCAAACAGTAAAAAACTTTGTTGACGCAGCCTTTCCGCCTCTCTCCCTCCTCTCTGACCTCCAGCCTTGGGCTTCCAGAGCAGGATGTGTCACATGGAACCTTTGGCCCATTTTGCCTCCAGTGGACCCCATCAGCCATGACTTGGAGAAGGTGGTAGGTGGCCCAGCAGGCAGGGCTAGGCCCCTCAGGGGCCTTCCAAGGGAGCCTGTCAGCTCTCAGCAGGCATGTCTGGGCTTCCTCTCCAGCCCAGCCTGGCTGCAGCCCCTGCCCCCGCATCCACTCATGTCCAGAGAAGTGACCCAAAGTGGCCAGGAGAGCTTGGGAAGGGACCCTCCCCCACACACCTGCTCTTCCCCATTCTTCTCCCCTCAGACTTCAATGTCTTGACTTTTTCCTGCAGCTTTTGAAGGAAGAATCCACCAAGACTTTAGTCTCTCTCCCGACCCAGGAAAAAAGAAGAGAGAGAGAGGGGGAAAAAAAGTCCTGAAAACAAAACCGATACAACAACCTTAAAGTAGGAGAGATTGGTTGGAAGGCTTTTAATCCCTTAATCCCTCTCAGTTGGGCCTTGAGACGCTAATGATTTTCCTAATTATTCCCTCCCATTTTCCCATAGCTCTATAAGAACTCTCAAGAGGAGTGAAATTCCGAGTGAGCCGGTGTAGGGTGAATGGTGGGCCCAGTTCCCCCCAAATAGAGCCCAGAGTCCAGGCGGCTGGAGAGGTGGGGGAAGGGCCAGGAGTGCTCCAGCTGGGGGCTAGGGCGTCCCTCTCACCCGACACCAGTGTGCAGGGTGGGCCTGGGACAAAGGGGCTGTCGGGGGCTGCCTGAGAGGCCAGGTGTGGGGCTGGGGTCCCCTCAGCGTGAATGGCCCATTATCCTGCCTAGAGGATGGGAGTGGGGGGGGGTCTCTTTGTATTCCCCCCAGGAAAGGCCTCTTTGGGTGATAATCACCCTGGGAGAGGGGTGGAGGTGATGATAAGTTTCTTTAAAGGGGGCCAAGCCTCCTCAGAGAACAGTTGGTCATTCGGGCCTTTGGCCCTTTTCTTGTTTCCAGCAGCCTGGGATCCTTTGGCCCGTCCATGGGGGTGGGGGTGAGGGGTAGGCCAGCAAACATGGTCCAGCTCTGGGTCCAGGCTCCCTCCCCATCACTGGGACCTGCTAGACTAAGTTCAGGGGTAACCTTCTGCAGGAAGCCACCCCCAGAGCCCCTCCCCAACCCGGGCTTCCCAGGTGGCTCAATGTGAAGAATCTGCCTACCAAAGCAGGAGACACAGGTTCAATCTCTGGGTGGGGAAGATGGCAACCCACTCCAGTATTCTTGCCTGAAAAATCCCATGGACAGAGGAGCCTGGTGGGCCACAGTCCATGGGGTCCCAAAGAGTCAGACGCAACTGAGCAGAGACTGAACCTGGGCTCCCTGCACTGGGAGCCTGCGGTCTTAGCCGCTGGGCCACCAGGGAAGTCCTGTGTTGCTCTGTTTTTAGAAACACTTGTAGAGATTCTCATCTCATCCCTATAAGCTCCCTGTGGGGTGAGGGCACAAGCTGCATTCCACAGATGACAAAACCGAGGTTCAGAGCAGTTAGGGGACTCCTGTAGGTTACCCAGCCAGGAGTGGCAGGGCTGAGCTTGGAGCCTGAGCTTCGAATCCGGGGCACAGGACTTTTGCACTTGCTCCCTCTGCCTGGAATGCTTCTCTCCCAAATGGCCACGTGGCTCTCTTCCTCATCTCCTTTGGTCTTTGCTCAAATCACATCCTCCATGACAGGAGAAGTCTGGCATTTGCTTCAAAGTGACATGGGAGGCAGGAGAGAGTAGATGGAGGTGCAGATGAAACAAGATTGGCAGTTGTGGAAGCTGAATGAAGGACAGGTGGGGGTTCATTAGACTAGTCTGTTGAGTTTTGCATCTATTTAACATTTTCCACAAGAAAAGGCTGAACAAAATCTGGCCTTCTAGAAGCACCTTATTTTAAGCTGAGTTCACCACCTCGACTCCAGTCCTTATGTCCCCTTTCTCTTTCTGTTTTTCTCCAGAGCATTCATCACCGTCTCTATGTATTTTGCTTGTTTCTTATTTTTGGATTCGTGTTGGTCTCGCACACTAGCCTCATGAAGCCAGAGGTCTTGGAGTGTGTTGGTGCAGGCTGGTGCCCTGGCATGCAGAGCCGCACTTGACACTTAGAGGCGCTCAGTCCATATTAGGAAAAGCCCGGATGACCTGGGTTTGCAGCTGAAGGCTCTTGACCAAGCCACACTGAAGCAGAGAAATGGCAGACTACTGGTGTGGGTTTCTGGCCTGTGGGGTCCTTCGGCACCTGGAGCCACAGCCGGAGGGTCCTTCCCAGTGCCCCCCAGCCCAGGCTAAGCCCCTAAGTGTCCCATTATGCACCATTCACTTCTCACTTTGTCGAGCCCGTCCGCAGCCGCTGCGTCCTTTTGTCAGAGGGGCCTGGGAGTGCAAGGGGCTATTACCACGAGGCCTCATTATTCCCAGCCAGAGCAATAATGAGGAGTCCCTTCCCCAGGCTAGCACAATCTGTAGGGTCCCTCCCATTTAATAACTATAATAACAGCCACCATTTATGAGCCCCTGCTTCATGCCCCGCTGCGCGCCAGGCACTTTACATACATTATCTCATTTAATTCCTCCAATAGCTCTGGCAATCAGCTACTGTTTGTATCCCCATTTTTCAGATAAGAACGCCAAGACTGGGGCCCAGAACCCCGTTATCCTTAGCTCAGCCATACAGGGGGAGGAAGGGCAGGGATACACCCATGTCCCAGGTGGAACACGGAGGTGCAGAGAGGGGAGGTGGCCTGGGAGAGAGCACACGGCAGAGGATCAGGGCCCACAGCTAGGACCGGGCAAGCGTCCCTCGGGCATGCATAGAGGAGGGCCAGCCGCAGTCCCCAGAGCGCTCCAGGCCAGAGCAGCCAGGCCTTCACTGTGTGTTCACAGGGGCAGCTGCTGGCTCCGGGGCTTGCCCTGTGCAGAGCTAGGGAGACTCCAGGGGCTCTGCCCATGAGGCCCACCCGGTAGTGAGGAGCACTTCCACTCTCTGGGCCAACACTGAAATGCTCTTAGAGGACCAGGGGGAGTGTAGGGCAGAGTGACCAGGCCCTGGGAGGAGGCAGGAACCTGGTGGGAGGAAGGGGAGGATGAGAAAAGGAACTGAAACTCCACTCTTTCCTCTCCAGTGAGGAGTCTCAGGGGTTCTCTCTTGCTCTGGCCTTTGGGGTTAAACGCTGTCCTTCCCAGGCTTCCCTGTTGGCTCAGATGGTAAAGAATCTGCCTGCAATTCAGGATACCTGCGTGTGATCCACCCACTGATCCCTGGGTTGGGAAAATCCCTTGGAGAAGGGAATGGCAACCCACTCTAGTATTCTTGCCTGGAGAATTCCATGAACAGAGGAGCCTGGTGGGCTACAGTCCATGGGGTCACAAAGAACTGGACACAACTGAGCGACTAAAACACACACACATGCACTGTCCTTCCTGAGCCTTTAAAAAAAGAGGCAATAATTATGATTTTAAATTGGATTTATTTCTGAATAAGCCATTTCTTCATTTTAAAGGCACAAAACTTTAGAAGCCAGAGAGGGTAAACTCTCAGGGGATCCAGGGTTTGCTGGGGAGAGGAGGATCTCTCAGAAGGGCGGAAATGGAGCAGCAGGAATGGCTTTCCAAGCAGAGGGAACATCATATGTGAAAGCTTAGCTCTGTGACACTTGATGTGTACCCACTTCTCAAAGTGTTTTTTGCAGAAGAGGCAGGAGGGGGTCTGCACCACCTCAGGCAGGCTGAACTCCAAGAGTCAGGGGTCTTTGGGCTGCAATCTGCATGCTCTTGCCCCTCAGCCTGAAGTCTCAGAGTCTAGAAAGGGTTTATCCCTCTGTCCGTTCCCAGAAAGGAGCCACCCCTGGCCGGTGGGACCCCTGACTTCTGCTTAGCTAGGGAGCTGAGCCCTGCTCTAGCCCTGCGGGGCAGACCTACCTCACCAGGGTTGTGAGGGTGAAATCCATTCATAGAGTGTTTGGTACAATGCTTGACGCAGAGCACATCTGCCATTAATGTTCATTAATGTTCCAAGGACACCCTAACCATTCCCTGTCTCAGTGTCCCCTCTCTGTAGTGACCTAAGCATCTTCTTCACTCACTCCTGGCTCCCACATTCTCCAGGCCGCCCAGAACACCACTGAGCCGCAGCCTTCCCCTTGGTTTCTCAGGGAGAGCGGTAGGGGGAGCCTCTCCAGGCACATGACCCTGTGAGCTGAGGTGTTCAAAGTGGAGAGAAAGACTTCCCCTCCTGGACCCTCAGCTCCGCCTCTTCTCACCCACTCTCCTTGAAGAAAAAAACACCCCCACTCATTACCAAGCCTCGCAGCCAGGCCCTGGCTGAAGCCCCGGCTAAAGGCAGCAATTAGATCGTTAGCACCAGCCCCAACCCACCTGCTTGGAGTCCCTCAAACACATTTTAATTATAATCCCTTAATCTCCCTCAGATGGCGAGGCCCAAACAGCTCCTTCCCTCACTCTCTTCCCCCAATTAAGGGGTCCTCTCAGCAGAGAGCCCCTCTCCCAGCTAAAGGCCTCCCTGCCTGGGAGCAGCCACCCCATGGGTTCTGTCGCTCTCTGTATGGGAAGGGGCCCCAGCTGGCCAGCCGGTCCGCCTGACGTTCCCATGGGTGTAGCTGAAGTCTCTCCCTCTTGCCTGGGCACGCGCTGAGGTGCCTAGGACCACTTGCCTTTCCCTTGTTCTCTTCTTGACCTGGTTTCCTTGTGTCCTCCAGGGAGCACCTCTCCCCGGCCCTTTTACAGTGACGTCTGTTTTTCCATCCACCCATCCATGCCACCCTGTCCGGACCAGCTGTCTCCTTGGCAATTCCGTCTAGGAGCCACCAGGTTCTACCCAGCCGGGAACTGAGGCCAGGGTCCTAACAGTGTCTCCTGGTGTTAGACCTCTAGTGACCTTTCACTGACCTCAGCAAAGTGCAGCCTCGCCCTCCTGCCTCTCATGCCCGTCGGGGCTCTGGGACCCTCTGCCACACAGGGGCTGGCAGAACATTGGGCGGCTTCTGTCCCTGAGCTTCGAGCAGGGCAGAGGCAGGGGGAGGGACAAGATGACCCAGCATGTGGCCCTGTCTGAAGTTGAGCCTGGATGAAGCGCTTTCCTGGGAAAGTTCTGTCACTAATTGACTTGCAAATGCCTTGTTTGTCCCCAGATTCATAATTAGTGCTAAGGATTTCTAGGGCCCCATCCTGGAGGGATCTTTTTTTGGGGGCAGCCTGTTCCTCTCCCCTCTCCGAGGTCGGCCGGGCTGGGGGTGGGTAGAGCCGGGCACCGGTGCCCAGCTGCCGTCCAGCGTTCCCACGGCTCTGGTGCCAGCGTGTGAAAGGCGAGGTGCGGGGGGCGCGGGGGCCGGGGCTCCCCGCCATCCTTCAGCCGGGACCAGGGCCAAAGCCCTGAGGCTCCAGGAAACGACAGAGCTGGGGAACAGGCAGGGGCAGTGGGTGGGGGCCGGCTGGCACCCCCAGGATGGAGAGCCCAGCCGGTGCCTGGGCTGGCATTGGCCGAGCCTCCAGCATGATGAATGGGCCAACAAGAGGCCTCTCTTCCCCACGGCTTCCCCACAAAGGGCTTGGCTACACCATTGGATGTGGGGGGCCAGGGGCCACTGGAGGAAGAGGAGAGTCTATTCTCAAAGACACCCCGCATGCCCAGCCTCTGCATTCCCAGGAAGGGGGCCCTGGGCTGGGGGCCCAGTGCCTTGGGTTCAGGCCCAGCTTGGACTTCAATCTGCTGAGTGAGGAGGGTGACCCTCCCAATCTCTGTGGGCCTCAGTTTCCCCCACGGTGTTATCCCTGGCATCCCTCCCTGCCCTGCTGTCCCTCTCCTGCTTCATGCCCACTCAGTTACCCCCACAGCCCCACCCTACCTCTTACTGAGCTTCCCAGCCCTCTGTAGCCCCTCTGTGGGCCTGAGACCCAGCCAGACCTCCCCTCCACTCAGGCGCAGGCTCCCAGCCCCCAGGGCCCTTCAGTTCCCCTCAGGTTAGGAGCTGCTGGCCATGAAAGGCCAGGAAGATCCTAAAGGCTGCGGCTGTCTGCTGTGGAGTCCAACAGCCCAGTGCCCTGCCACTTGCAAACTGTGTGGCCCAGAGGTGTCGGTCTGTCTGGACCACATCTGCGGGAGGCCTCACAGGGTTATCACCAGGAGCAGTGAGACTGTGAGTGGAAGACAGTCCATGGGGGGCCTGGCAAAAAGTGGAGGCTCAGTCGAAGTTCTTTTTTCTCCTGCCTCCCTCTCAGAGTTTCCTGCCATCTGCCCATGTTTCTGGGTGACTGAGATGTTCTTTCACAGTCCACCACCATCTTTTTTTTGCCTGGCTCTCTCAGCAGCCCCTCTATATCCCTCATTTCCTCTTCTGTTCCCTGCTCAGGACTGGCCACTTTCCCTTGGTAAGTTCTCCCAGAAGTCTAACCTTTTATTGCAGGTTGCTCCCCCCCTCCCCAGGCCTGGCTTCTTCCCAGGCTGCCCGGCAGCTGGGGGCCTGAGGAAAGGCGGTAGGGGTGGGCTCTATGGTAACCCTGAGAAGAGAATGCCCTCTTTGCTCATCTGCATATAGACATCTCATTTGCATACAGACAGGCCTCATCTGCATATGCTCAGTGGGACTCTGAGAGCACATTCCTCAGTGTCCGCCTGGACCCTCCCACCCCAGGCTTGCCATCCCTGTCGAGGGAGGGACCCCTCCCCACCCTTTCTGCCCCTGTCTGTGTCTGGGTCTTTCTGTTTCCAAAAGGCATCCTACCCTCTGTGGCTCCTTCCCACCTGCCGTCACCAGTGCCTGCTCCCCTTTCCTGTGCTCAGACTAGTCTTTCCTCCCGCCTCCTCATGCCTGCCCCGGCTCCTTCTCCAGGAGCCTCCCTTCTAAGCCAGGAGCCAGGCCACTAGTGGAAGCAAAGGGCTGGCCCCAGTCAGGCACTGGCTGCCTCTCTGTCCCCAGGGCCCTCAACACCTGGAGGTTAAGAAAGCCCTAGAATGTTGATGCTTAGGCTCCAGGGTCCAAACAAATGCAGGAGGAGGGGGAGGCCGGACTTGGGCAACTTCCTTCATGCTGACCCCAGGCCAGCCCTTGTCTCCCTTCACCCCTCCTCCTGGAACTGACCGCCAGGACGGCAGTGGGTCCTTGCAAGGCTGGGCAGTTAGAAGGATCCTGAAAGGAGGTCTGGGAACCTCAGAAACACTTTGCCTGGCCTGACGAGCCCAGGCTCCGCCCCTTGTATATGCCACATGTGCTACAAATGGAACTGCCTTTCTGAGCTGCAGCCCTCCTTGACCCTGTCCTTGTGGGGGAACATGGGGCTCCTTGGAATGCAGGCTAGAGGAGCCCAGAATTCTCCTGACGGGCCTCCACCATGCTGTGGACCCTGGACACCACCATCCCTCTCTCTGGCCTCAGTTTCCTCTGTAAATTGAGGAGCTGGGCTAGACCAGGTGCCTCTTAATGCATTATTTCTTCCTGAAAACCACAGCCAGCTGCCTAGCCAGCATTCTATCCGCAATTTCAGCAGCTGCAAGGATCTCTGAGTTTCATCTTGACCTCAGGCTAGGAGCCCTGGTCTAGAGGAGCTAAAAAGGCTGTGATCAGGGCTTAAATGGAAGAGGAGGGTGTGTAAATGTATATGCTTGAACACCCAGAGTATCTTGGGGAGGACGCAGGCACCAGTGGCTGCTTTTTGGGAGAGGAGGTGGGTGGCTGTGAACAGGGGAGGGAAAGAGGCATACTTTCCCTTTGTGCTGTTGAAACTGTACCAAGTGTATTATCTTAAGTCTTTTTATTTAGAAAAATTCCAGGATTAAAAAGAAAAAAAAGAAAAATTCCAGGATTCAAGCTATAGTTCCATGAAGGGATTGTTAGATGGGAGGAAGGACTTTTTAGGGAGTGGTAGAATGCTTAAAAGGAGCTGGCACTCTGGACTCTGCTAACACTTTCCAGGGGGCCTATCTTTGGGGGAGCATGTTTTACACAGGTGCGTCATGGGGGAAATGAGACCAACAGCACAGGTCCTTCTTGCCGTGTTTCCCCTACTCCCTCAGGTTCCCTCCGGGGTGTTGCTGGGAAGTCCTACCTGCTGTCTAGCCTGAATCCTTCTTGTTAGGCATATCCATCCCATTCTGTCTCTACTCAGGGTGCACAGATAGGAAGCGGGAGTGGGTGACCCTGTGACGCAGGGGTGCTCTTTCTCTCTGGTCTGTTCAAACCCTGGAGAACATTTTAAGGATGTGTCCCATCGCGGCCAAGACAGAGGGCCAGCCCGTGACCTCCCACACAGGCCCTCCAGGGAGCATCCCCCTCCTCTCTCCTTCTCTTGGTTCTTGGGATGGCACCTAGGGGCCTCCTTGGCTGGGAACATCAGCCCACTGCTCTGAGCTGGGACTAAGCAGATCATGGACGGTGTTCCCAGAAGCCTGGGCGGCTCAGAGAGGGGGCAGCAGACCACCTGCACCCAGCCTACCCTGCTCAGGTGGAAGTCTGTCTTAGTGAGGCTTCCGCATTTTGTTGCCGCGGTGACACTGGTGCACTGGTCTCTCAGAGCAGGGATCCCCAGCCTTTTTAACACCGGGGAACGGTTTTATGAAAGACAATTTTTCCATGGACCTGAGTGGGTGGCTGGTTTTGAGATGATTCAAGAGCATTACATTTAGTTCTGTGTACTTTATTTCTATTATGGTTCCATCAGCTCCACCGCCTTACATCCCAGAGATAGGGGACCCGTGTCTCAGAGGGAGCCTGGTACCACTCTCCTCCCATTCAGCCCCTCCCCTGCCCAGGGACATCCACCAACACCAGTAATGTTCAGTAATCAAGAGTCTTTATTAGACTTGAGATGGGACTTCCATCTCAGAGAAATCTCAGCTCAGAAGACACAGGAGAAACCAGGGTGGGCTGGGATGGACAGCTTGTAGACACAGGAGCAAAGGGGAGGCAAAGTTGAGGTGGCTCCAGGTGCCAATGGGCTGCCCAGGCTGGAGGCTATGGCCTCTCCACTTCCATCCTGCATACAGGCTTCTTGAAGGAGCCACTCAACTTGCTAGAACTTAGCCTCATCTTTCAGTCAATCAGGAAGGCTTCTCACAGGGCACCCAAGCCAACTGGATGAAGTAGGTTTTTCTTTTTGGTCTGAAAAGAAAAAAAAAAAAAAAGCCAAGATTGAAAAAGGTTTTTTGGGGGGATGGAAACCTTAGCAGGAGACAGAGGGCAACTGTCCAGTGGCCAGGAAAAGTGAAAGACCAGGGTGGGCTCCATGAAAAAGGGGGCCACCATGACAGTGGCTGAGTCTAGGCATCTCTTCTAGGTGTTCTATCCAGGGCCATGGTGGGGGAGTGGGAGGGGAATGCCCAGGGAAGGAATTCTGATCCCCAGCAGGGAGAGGCTAGGTGGCAGCCCAGGGGACTTGCTTCAGGAAAACGGAAAGCATATTTCCTTGGTCAGGGACTAACCTGAAAAGATTTTGTTGACTTCTACAGCTCCTGTGGCTTCTTGCCCAGCCACATCTTCAACCTGCAAGGACTGTTTGAGCATTCCTCAGACTTCACTCCTGCACCTGAGAAGGAGTGGCCTTCCTCCCCTGTGAACATGCAGAGAAGTCCCCCTGCCCATCTGGTCCTCTTCTCCTTTCAGCCCCTCTGCCTACGTTTGGAACATGTGCTGCAGGAAGTCGGCACAGGGGAGGGAGACAGCATGTGCTCTGGAATCCACCAAGCCCCATTTGATGCCCAATCCAACTTCCTAGTCCTCTGACTTGGGGCTCCGATTATGCCTTTGTAAAGTGGGGACAGCACCACTAATTTTTCAGGACCATTGGGTGATCACCCGAGACAATGGCTAAGAAAGGGCTTACACAAGCAGGAGGTTGCCAAAAATCAAGGCCAATTCCTTCCTTCCTGGGTAGTGGGAAGCTGTACCTAGGAAAGAATAAAATCAAGAGGGGTCACACAGAAATCTGGTGCTGGGAAGGATTGAGGGCAGGAGGAGAAAGGGACAACAGAGGACGGGATGGTTGGATGGCATCACTGACTCAATGGAGATGAGTTTGAACTCCAGGAGATGGTGAAGGACAGGGACACCTGGCGTGCTACAATCCATGAGGTCAAAAGTATCGGACACGACTAAGCGACTGAACACAGAAATCAGGCATCAGAAGCACAGTTGTGGGCACAGCATTCCTTTCCTGCCCTACCTGGAATTGGGAGCTCCCCCAAATTCACCTCATGCGACTTCTCCAAGGGCTTTAAAGTCTGAGAAGAGAATTTCAGAAAGAGGAGGGTATCTGGGCCACATCCGTGCATTGCCCAGCTCTGCTCAGATCAGTGTCACCTTCCTCCCACCTAGACTTGCAATTCTTGCCTCCCTACCCCACTGACCCCTTCTCCTGCCCCGCCCGCAACCCACCTTTGCCAGGTCCCCAACCTTGATGTGTCAGAGGGGTGGGGATGGGAGGGCTGCCTCACCCATCATACGGGAAGCTCCCTAGAGGTAAAGACTCAGTCTCCCTCAAGCCTGGGCTCCTTGAGGCCCATGCCCCTGACCCCTCTTGGTCCTCTGCCCAGCCTGGGCTGGCTCCCAGAGGCCCCGAGGTAAGCCAGCTGCTCCTCAGTGTCCCCACTACGTCCCTCCTCAGCTCCCTTTGACCTTCCTTGCTCCAGATCCTCGGCCTGTCTGGGAACACTGATAGCCCCAGGCTGGCTGGATTTGGGGGAACAAGAGGAGACTGGTGTCTGTTGTGGCCTGTGAAGGGGTGGTAGATGAAGCTCAGTGTGGGGCCCTCCCCTGGGTGGGGGGGGAGGGGTCCAGACGGAACAGTCTCCGCCTGTTACACCCTCCCAGCTCCAGACAGAGGGAGCATCTCCTAGCAACCGTACAGTAGCAGGGGGCTGGGAAGAGGGTGGGGGCTGGGAAAGTGGGGCGGGGAACAATGATATCATAAATTATCCCTAGGCCCTCCCCGTCAGCCCACCCTTCTTCAGTTGAGAATGGCCTCCTTTCTCTCTCCACCTGCTCCTCATTCATGATTCCCCTGCAAAGCTGGCTCCTGTTCGATGCCCCTTAGAGGTGCCCCTCTATCTCAGGATGACCATTCTCGGCCTCTGCTTGAGCTCCAGAGGGAGAGAAGTCTCACCATTCCAGGATCTCTTGGGGACCCTGTTGGATGAAACCTCCCCTGTGACTGGATGGAGGAGCCTAGGAGACCATTACTTTCCAATGGTCTCCTGCTCCTGCATCTTTCTTGGGTGGGGAAGGGGACAAGGAAGGGAAATTACAAAGCATTTTGTGACACTGACTACTTCTCTAAACAAAAGTTTGAGACTTGGGACCTCCAAGTCTTTAAGGGGCACTTGAGCCTCTCACCAATCTATCCAAGTCTCAGTTCTCCTATCCCAACAGCTGGAGCCCAGGAAGCTCAATAACGTGGCTGAAACCGGCGGGTGGTTCCTTCCTTACCTCTCAAATTAGCCATGTCAAGCCAAAGGTCAAAGAACTGGTACTTCAGCAGTACAAATCTTGGTTAGACATTGGAAAGGACTTTCCAAGACAGGAATAAGCAAGATCATGGAATTTCCTGGTTGGAGAGAGAAGTCTGTCACAGAAACAGGAACCTGAGTGGTTCTCTCTTAAATTTTACCTCATTAACCTCATTTACCTCACATATTAAATAACATATAGGGAGTATTTAGCAGAGCCTGACATATAGTAAACCTCCATTTTTTAAAAAAAAATCATACATTAATATGAATTTTTATTGGGTGGATATTAGGAGGAAGGATAAATCCCCTGAGAACTATCTCCCATCCTCCAGGAACCCCATGGGAAAATCCGGATATGAGATCGTGCCCCGAGTACAAGATGGCAGCCAATTGCCATGGTAACAGCAGAAGAAGGAGTCTGGTTGGTTGCGGGGGCAGTGCCGGGAAGCCAGCTGGTGCCGGATGGACAAACCCGGCAGAAGGTAGCCCCAGCTGGGTGACGCTCATGCCCCCTGTGCCCAGGGCTCTCCTTCCATATGCCAGCCTCAGCCTGGCCCTTCCCTCCAGGCAGAAAGACTCCAGTGCTATCTGTGGGGGATGATGCCAAAATCATTCCCTCTCCTGACTCTTGCTTGTGTACAACAAGGGATGACTGCTCAGAGACAAAAGACCCTCCTGTTCAAAGTCTCCCTGGTCCACAGGCCAAGAGATCTAAATTGCTCTGAATTTAGCGCATTCCTGACATTGATAAGGAACCATAAAATCAGGGACTTGGGAGGGTCCAAAGTGGTGGGGCTTGGAGGTACCATTTTGTACACATTCAGTGTGTGTGTTGCGGGGGGGCGGGCCACAGTGTCTGGCTAATGTTCCCTCTGGTGAACTCTGAGATGAGGGAACAGAGCAGATCAGGGCAACATGGGGAAATCAGGCTTCACCTCGCCCTCCCTCTCTTCCCAGAAGTGCTGGACAGTGTCCACACAGGGCCAGTGGGAAATTCTTCCTGAGAAGGATGAAAGAAGCTGTGGCCATGGAGTCCATTTTGCCACCTAGTTGTTAAAAAACAAATGCCTCCCAAACCAGTCTCAGCAAGATGCTGGCCCACTTGAGACCAGAGAGTACCAGCCAGTCCACAGAGCCTGGCCATGCCTCCCAGACAGACCAGCGTAGCTTTGCTCATCTCCCCAGCAATCCACTCCCTCATTTCCAAACTTTGGAGGCCTTCCTTGATTGCCCCACCTGTCTGTAGTGGCCCCTGTAACTCTGTGTCCCTCAGTCCCCCTGTGTCATTTAGAAGGGACACTGGACATCTGCACACAGTCTTGTGAAACACCTCCATCCACACTGATCCATTTGATCCTCAGGATAACGGTGGAAGGAAACTAGGATCCAGGACATTAAGTTACTTGCCTAAGGCCACGCACCTAGTAGGGCTTCCCAGGGGGCTCAGTGGTAAAGAATCTGCCTGCCAATACAGGAGAAGCAGGAGAGGCAAGTTCAATCCCTGGGTCAGGAAGGTCCCTGGAGAAGGGAATGGCAACAGTATTCTCAGTATTCTTGCCTGGAGAATTCCATGGACAGAGGATCCTGGTAGGCTACAGTCCGTGGGCATGCACGCACATGGCTAGGAAGGGAGCGAAGACAGAATTTGTCTCTTGACCAGCCTGTCTCCAGAGTCAAAATCCAAAACCTCCTTCTTTTGCTGTTCTTCCTGTGGATGGAGGCTCTCTACCAAATCTGTGAGCAATCTATAAACTGAGATGTGTCTTCTATCATTCTACCACTTCCAACGCCCCCAGTCCAGACTTTTATTAGCTAGGAGAGTGTACACAATGGGGGTTGGAGGTAGGGGAGGTCTGACCCACACTGCTGACTGAGGCCTGGCAAGGAGAGAAAACCCCCTGGGTTTGGAGACTGAAGGGACCTTAGATTTCTTTTGAGCTCTGGTCAGTCTTGAATTTCTGCCCTGCCAACACAGCCGTCTCTAGGGGGGTAGCTCCATACAGAGCCGGAGGGGA